TATTATTTTCCCGAGCCCGGCGTGGTGAACGAATATTTTTTTTGGATAATTTTTCGTTGTTTGCAAGATGGTTACAGTGTTTAACCCCAAAACAAAATCATTTTTTCTGAGTTGGTCCTCGAGTACAAGCTCATCCCTTACTTTTCCTTTACGTGTTCATGCCTCCGGGCTTATGATCAGGGAAGTACGGTATACTGTGACGATTTAGATCAGTCCAGTGTGAGTGATGAGAGTATATCGTCGACGATGCCCCTTGTTCGGATGAAAGTTTTATTTCAAATTACACGCAAGTCTGTGAACAATCTGCTTGGTGTTCCTGTGACACTTGTCCCATGATTTGCCAGTGCAGCCCCGTGAATATATGGACGAAAATGTTTCCACCACCACCCTACGAACTCAAGATTGCATACTCCAGCATCCAGACTTTGAATAATTTGCACGCCACACAGTGCAGTACTGGAAACAGCATTTATTAGACAGACAAAAAACAAAACAAAATGCCTGTCTCGATCAATCGCACATCCATAATGTTTGTATGTTGATACGCTTGTAAATAACATAAAAGTTGAAACAACCTAGACTAGAAGTCAATTCACCAGTCCAGCCAGCTATGGCTCCCTAAGTTGCTTATATTTAATCAGATACTATTTCGTCATCATGCTTTGTTACCTTACCTGTTTATACCTCATAAGGGCGTTCTTTTATGGCAAGATGGCGCAAACGGAAGTCCTTGGCAGGTTTATGGTTTCTCATATTTAAATCATCATAACTCTGAAGATAATCATTTTTTTTTTTCAAATTTATAATCAATATACATACATGTAACTTGATAAATACAAACACCAAAATAGGCTCTATTTAGTTCCCCTAACTTGATAAATACAAACACCAAAATAGGCTCTATTTAGTTCCCCTTTAAAGTCAACTAATTGAGATAAAGACATATTTCGCTCAAAAATGCAGACAAATCCACTTTTACATACTAATGTAAGAATACGCGTACAAACACATTCACATACCCAGTCTACCAAACAATAAAGTAAAGTGCCGATTTGTCAAGTTAAAAAATACAAAAATCCGCCATTGTGTTCACTGTTCCCAGGCCCTATGTAACCATGATATTTGGAAATTAATGGTGCAAATGATACAAACAACAATTTACCGTTAATTGCGTCGTTTAATTGCGAATTAAATCTGTTTACCACGTAGAGTATACGGCTAAAATCAAACTCAAATAATTATTCCTCTTTGTAGAAAATAATTCATACATTCTGGTCAGCAGAAACTATTCCTAAAAGCATTTAATTTTTACCGGAAATGAACTTTATTCAATAGAGATTTGAATACATATTATATTATATTCTCAGAATACAATGGCATATATCTTTCACAAATTAATTCGGACATTTTCCAAATATAGTTGGTCTTTGACAATGCATAATCCGTATAGCCGACACAGAAATAACATTTGTATTAATTATAAGAAATTACATTATTGTATTTTGCACATTCATGATTATGTAAATGTAATGGAACATACTATTATTAGGAATAGGTAATTATGTACTAGTATTCGCTTCACCTACTCCCAACCCACCTATATGGTGATATATATCTTCTTTAAATTAAATCTCAGCAGCTGTAAATTTGAAATAAAAATATATGTTTAGTCTTATGACAGTTCTAGTCAGCGAATATTGTATGACAAGCGGTAATACCGGCGGAAGTTAGGCATAAATAAGATCATTGTCTCCGTCTTCCCAACTTCAAAACAAAATATTTACCAAAGCTTGGGTTATATATGTGCCCAAAGATGTGACGTGTTAGTATCTTGGACAATTCGAGAACTGCAGCTGCAGAGGCATCGGCACGTAATTTTGCATGGGGGGGGGGGTCTGAAATCTAAACCTTCTGAAACTCTATCACGTGAATTTTGAGGGTTTCAGCTTGATTGTAGGGGCAACCACCGTAACTGTCATTTTGTTTAGGGTGGGCGACCGCGCTATTCATATATTGAAACAATAATGTGTCCGTGGAACTGGAGACTGGAGACATAGCTACGCGTCTATTCATTCATATGGAGTTAAGGGTTCTCCAAAAAAAATGGCGCCTTAGACGAACAATTATTAATGTATTCTCGAATGGTTTTCATAAAAGAATTTGATTCACGAATATGACCCCGTTTTTCATTTCTCTGTATCTTGATAATTTCATACCTAGAATACCATATTATATGTTTGATATAATTCCAGTAGTAACAATTTGACTAGTTTTTGTTTCGAAAATACACTGATTACACAGTTTTCACGTACCAATCAATCTCAATGCGGTTACTTAGTTGGCAACATATATTAGATATAAAGCTATAAGTGTGAATACGTTATATGTTTTTGTTTGTCGTCACCAATGAATAGACTAACATGACTATTCAAGTAGCGAGACACTCAGAACAACACGATCCGGTAAACACCGTCATCTCATAGACATGGACGCACAATTCTTTCTATTAGTTCAGGGATACGGCGATATAATATGAAACTTGCAAACGAACCTATTCAAATCAAGACGCCATCCTCTGGAAAACCGTGCCATGTCTTTCTTGGTCGCCAAGAGGGGCAAAGTATGCCATTTCCCACTTTCCTGGAACTGGAGGTCATCTTCTTTTTTCCCATTGAAGTTCCCCAGAATGCCTGTCACTTTCCCAGAGAGATCAGCACTAGGGTAGACATTCACGTGACCTTCGTGACCGTTCCATATAACTGCAAAGCACCCTGGTCCGACATCTGCTGTCATAAACTTCCTGCGTCGGTTATTCCATTTAAGAGCGAAGTCTCCAAATACAGTGCTGTTAGTTGATATCTGAGATGTTACGTCTTTTTCATTGACCTAAAACGTAAAATTAGCATAAACCAAAATGGTATTCATACTCGTAGTTACGAAAGATTATTTACCATTCCAAGAACACAAATTACTGAAAAACAACCCACAAACTCAGATATCGAATTATGGTCAAACAGTCTAAGAAAACGATCAGAGCAAATACGATGTTAAAAAAATATTGCACCTTCTGCTTAACACGCGGCACCCGCCATAGGCATGGTCAAATTGTATACCGGATATGTAACACTTCCTTCAATCCTTTTATATCTACCAATCAAATTGCTGTATGTCAAGGTAAGTCATTCCCTATAAAATTCTGGGCTCATTAATGCATTTGATAAAGTGCTATGACATATTTGATAGACTGTATGACCCATTGGTTGTATAAAATGTTCCAAAAATCGGAAAAAATGCGGGAAATTAATAGTAAAGTTGAAATCGTATATTCTCGTAGTAGGAATCTCTAGAAAAATCTAATCACAATATTAATAAAGGTGGCTTACTTTGATGTTATTCCCTTCAAGAAGCTGTAATCGCTGCCCTCCGTAATCTACAGTGACACTTCCAATGAAGTAAGCCTCCTTCCCAAATATTGATCCACCGAAGTGATGAGTGACAACTCTGTAACTCGGGTCATCGGAGTCTTCTTGAAACAAGATATACCGGCACGCATCGCCAATGAACTTAAACCTGAACCCATCACCGGTTTTTATTATAGGATCACCCTGGCCACCAGGTCCTGTATAATTTGCGATTTGAATCAAAACAATATGAGTAACAAGTTGAATTTCACTGTAGTTCTATGTAATATACTATCTGCATTTAACTTACCGCCACCATCACCTGTGTGAACAAAACAAAAAATATTATTAAGGCATGTGTGCGTATAACAATTTGCCCATCTGCACATTTTATAAACAGTCAAACAAGAACACCTTGAATTGAAATGACCGCCAAATCTCGTTGTGTGCGAGAGCCACGAGACCTATTGTTTGCAATTCAAATAGTGTTCATCATCTCCTTTCATTTCCTTCACTACCTGAATATAATTCTTACACAGAAGAGAGAAACACGGAACGCGGGACAAGGAGAATACAACACTATTCTGATGGGCAAAAGCAAATATCGGTGCTCTCTCAGTCTCATCGAGATCTCGGCGGACATTGGAGTTTAAGGACTAGTGTTAAAGGAAACATCAATCCAAACAACATAATGACCCCTACAGAAAAAGCTTCACAAATATAGGAGAATGCAATTTACAATTTTTTATATCTGTTTTCATTCTCTAGATATTCAACTTTTCATCGATATTATGTAGTCAGCCATGTTGATTCTCAAGCAAAGGATTATGGATAAAGTATGATATCATAACATCTGTTTTCAGAAATCGAGAAAATTATTTCATCTTTTATTATATGTAAATTACATTCTACTACATTTGTGGGGCTTTTTCTTTAGGGGTATTATGTTGTTTGGATTGGTGTTTCCTTTAAATAATAAAAAAACATCACTCACCGCCGCCTATATAGTTCGGAACTTTAAATCCTGTACGGTAGAAATATAAAAACAATCAATAATCGATATTTCATACTATTGTTCTGTGTAACATATTAATTATGCTTTAAATTGAAATTGCTTAATATTCAAAAGGTAATTTAGTATAAAAAATCTGTTTATACGTGTTGTGAAGGTTCCACAAAGTCTATATCGAACACGATGCGGGGATACGACTGTAGTGTTGTGATAGATAGAACATAAATATATGTAAAAATGTTTTAGATACCTCCATATGTTGTACCGAAAAGTACATACTCATCTGAAAAAAAATATTACGTACAATATATCAAATAGGAACATAAGAAAGTTCAGAAACGTACATACTACAGTGTTGCTTAGAAATGATACTACTTCGTTTGGAATTATGATTCGCCCACGTGATGTACATACAGTTTGTTTGTTTCTTTGTTCTTACCTTCAGTTGGTGTGCCATCTACGGTTGCTCATGGTTACGAGGATAATGAAAATTACGTAAGTGCTCATAATAATTGAATACTTTAATGTGAAAGAGGGAAACAATGTTTCAGTATCTTAATATTTTGTGATTGACTTAATGTGATAGCAAGTTCTGAATACACGGGAGTATCTGAATAAGGCATTAAAGAATAAACAAAAAGTGAGATGATGTTTAAATAAAATTAAAGAAAAAAACATTGTATGGACTTGGTTTGAAAATAACTTTTGAAAACACGTCAAATACTGTAATGCTAGGAAAAAATAATTTTCGTAAACTTTGGTGTATCACTCACCAGTTCCAGTGTCTGGTCTTGTCTTTGACGAGTCTGGAAAGAGTGTATATAAATATTACATTTACAAAACAATCAGATACACACATATTAAGAATAGATATTATATCATAAAGTAACTATTGTTATGCTATTATTATATGTGTATGCACACTTAACCTATAGAAAATAAACATCCATAATAAAACTATTTCTATATATTACAGAGTGTTGCAAGAGAAATTAATATATAATAATATATAATACATATATCCTTACGTAGCACTTACCGATTCCAAGGACCGGTCTTGTCTGTGAGGAATCTGGAAATTATGTATACGATTATCACATTCACAAACATTTCAGACGCAATTAGACAAATAGAAAACAAAAGACATTATTATAAAAAACAAACAAAAAAACATCACAATGTTTTAATAAATCGCTTTATTTGGTTTATTCAATTACGTTTTATATTGAAAAAAAACAACAAAGAACAATCAGAGTAAAAACAAATTTCTATTATTGCTGTCCAATCCCAACTTCTGTACAAATTTAATTTTCAAATGGCGCATAAAAGTGCATTGAGACCTGCATAATTATTTCCACAAACTTTCCCAAAATGGTAATATATTGGATACTTACTTTTTTCCAGCATTGCTGGTGTTATGGTAACTGAAAAAAAAGTAGGCAGAAAATAATATAATGATAATAGTCATACGACATGGTTCCTATTTTTATAGATACCAATATGCTTGTAGATTGTTACAAAATTTACCAAAACGTTCGATGAGTTATGGTATGTGTGCACTTTATCGCTGAAAAATCACACGCACAGTATTAACGCCCCGTTGGTTTATTACACTCACCTCCATTGACTTCGACAGGATCTGGGTTGTAATCTGTGAATGCAGAATACATTCATAATGTCTTAAATATGTAAACGTAAATAGAACATATGGATAGGTAGATATCGACGTCGAATTAAACAACATATGTGATACTTACACCCTAAACCTGGAATACCTAATTAGAAGAAAAAAATATTATAATGTCAAAATAAAATATTGCACAAATTCACAACCCTAAAGGAAATACACATGTCCAATAACGTAATACAAAGAACTGTAAAGTATGGAATATCATGATATGCAACGTCAAATTTTTGGCAAATGATTTTCGAAACAGCCTCATAGTTGCTGTCGACATAGGAAGTAAAGTAAGCAAATAACACCGAATAAACGGCCGCTTCGAAATAGCCTAATGGAGAGCGATCAGTAATACTCTCGTGGATCTAAGGTTCTGATGTACACGAATGTAGATACCAGGATGGAAAGTATAATATTTCACAATGACACTGGGGTATATTTAACTGTAGATAAAAGGATGGAAAGTATTATATTTCACAATGACACTGGGGTATATTTAACTATTCGAAGAACTCACGTCTGGGTTTACAACACTTGCGGCTTTCACAAAATGCTGCGTTTTCCAGAGCAACCATAGATTCCTGGCAATCGGGATAACAATATCCGCCAAAATGAGAGGTCGAACAGAGATCTGAAATAATGTTATTCAAAATTGTCATTATTTGATTTTCACACAATAATATATCCCGGGTCAATATTCGTAGCACTTCTGTCGCACGGTAAATGTGTACTGTGTACAAACCTTAGGTATAAGCCTTTTTAATTTTTTTTCCCAAAATTCAAGCCTGAACCTTACGGCGATCGCATTCGAAGTGTGTTGTACTGAGTAGTTAGTTATTATTTGTCTTCACAACAATAAATTCCCTCAATTCTATTATGAGAACGAGCTAAAACAACTAATCTCGGACGAACGTAATGGTCGATGTTAAACATCGGCAACATTTATTGACACGAGATTCAGTACAATTTATACATTTACGTCTCAGCAGAACACTTTAGTAAATACAATTATTTAGCTCTGATTCTGACTTACCAGTCGATTGGTGACAGCAGAAACAGTCACCAGGACATAACAGTTTGTTCATTGCCAAATGGTCAACATTTTCGTCGCATGAGGTTTTGCAAAGGCCGCCAATAAGAGAACATCCAGATGAAATAGCTGTCGTTTATAATATGATAATCAGAATTGTAGAATATTTAGTAATATTATCAAAACAACAAGGATCAGAAATAATTTATGCCTACAGTTAGGCCCACTTGTGACGATTTTGGTAATTAAACGTATGTATTTATGAAATTTACAACTCATGCATTATTTTCATCATAATAAATATTTGAAATAGACAACTAAATACATACCTCCGGCGGGGCACGCATCATTCACTTCAGTTTAGAAATAAAATAAAATAATAAGTTTAATTTAAAGAATTGTCCAAACTTCATAACTCACAATTGTTGATGACTGTAATTAAAATCAGGCATGCCATTTACTTCACACTATTCATGCAGCAGCGAGGCACACTCCGTGATCGCCTTTTTGAACGCATGTTTCATGCGGAATATGGCGTTGTTGTGGCTACATGCGATATGCCTCTACAAATACTATTTCAATGCCTCACCATTAATAGCTTACAAATTTAACAGAGATTCAATTGATTGAATGTGATAAAGCTCAGATTAAATCCAGAAAGAAAAACATTTTTTTGTAAAATATTTTTTTATACCAACGACACACTATAAAATACGGTTTTAATGTCTGGTAAAAAAAGTCGCTTGTACCTTAAACTTTTTTTTTATTTATTTCCGCGCCACATAAATTCAGCACAAAATCTACTCAAAATAATTAAAATGGATATTGCACAATTATGCCATCAATGTACTCACATCTCGAGAAGTGCTTTGATTGCCAAAATGTTACGAAACTCTACCGACACCAGACCGTTTTACATGTAAATGTTTTTTAAAGTATACTGAATATTGTTTGAGAATGAACAACATACTTACAAGTACACGTAATCCCATCACCAGAGTAACCTGGTGAGCACACACAAGTGTACACGCCGTCAACAGGTGAACACAATGAATTGACGTCACATATGACCTCTTCACATACAATACCTCCCTCTGTGCAGGTACACGTCTCAGTGCAGTTGGAGTTTTTCCATGTCTCGCCTCTCTAATGGTGATATACATCGAGGCAGTACTATGAGTGTTGTGGCAAAGTAATGTGCTGAGTCATATATTGAGGTGCAGTTGTACTGAGTAGGTCAATTACAATAATTGAATATGCACATACTTAGTGATATAACATTGTGGTGAAGCACAGGCAAATATTAATGTTTCTTGTAATAGCGGGTCATTTGAAGAATGTATAGTCTTGTTATATTTGTAATGGCAATTACATATTAATACAAGAAACTGCACGGGATCTCGTTGAGAGTGAGTTCTGTGACTTGTGTGTGTCTCCGCAAATAGGGTTCATTCTGTCTCACCAATTTGACATATCATTAAAAGTTTTTACAGGAACTTTAAATGCATCTGGTTTACCCCCTTCTCAACCCTCGAAGACCTGGACTCTGCTGACGGTCTCGCCAACGAACCAACACGAACAAAATACGACCAGACGATGGTGATTTTGTTCAACGTCAAGAAACCCTCAACTGTCAGGTTGAAAGAGGAAGACCTACCGACGACAGAATAATTCACCTAGTACCTTGGGAGCATGGTCAAGCATAACGGTGGAGCAGGCAACTCCATCAAAACAGCCTCAGCAATGGACGTAATGCCTTCAGAATGCTGAACAATGTGTATAAGTCATCCGAGTACAACACCAAGACCAAACAAAGACTGCACCAAAGCTACGCATTCTCCAGCTTGCTGTACGGATCACAACGCTAGAGGATGACGGAAATTGACCTCAATAAACTACCCACACCAATAACCTCAGTAGGATCCTGCAGATGTGCTGACCTGAAACTATCCACAACCAGCAATTGCTCGCTCGCTGTGACCAGGACAGCATGGAAGCCATCATCACAGGGCGACGACCTATGGAAGCGGAGCTGCGGACCTTTCAAAACACTTGGACAACCATACAGAAGCTAGCCCGGGAGTGAAGAAGCCTTGGTGCTGCCCTACATGCCAAGTCGGCAACTGAGCATTAGTGAGTGAGTGCCTCACCATTGCGTCCGAATGTTCAGAATGCTATGATTGCATTGATCAGGACAAAATTAGGCGTTGGTAGAAAGTGGAACACTATTTGCAAGACAAAATGAGACCACGGAGACCATATGCGTCTATTCTAAGATCTATGCTGTACAATGTGTGTTTTTTCTGGTATACTTTGTGTTAACTGAATTTGATATTTCTCATGAGTCAACGTCGTTCACCCGCGCAGCCCTACTAGAGGTACAACAAGCCCAAAGATGTCTCAATGACATCAAGTCAATATACTAACCAGACGATATATGTTATCAGCTCCACGGCAACCACAATCAGTTGAACGAACACAATCAACGCCGCTACGGACATATCCATCTATGCATTCACACATCTCCGTGTTTAGTTCAGGACAGAAGTCAGCGGCTGACGGCTCAACACAGGTTTTCTCACAGGGAGATGCGCTGGGGGTGTATCGACTGTTGTTTGGACAGTCGAGTGCTGCAAACAACAACAAACACAGTTTCAGCTCACCAGTATATCTGGCCGATGAGTTAATGTGAATAGGTGGTACTTCTATTGTTGCACTAAGCAATTACTAAGTAATATTATGCACATTGCAATAATATGTTAATTAACACTTACGACAAAACGTAGTAGTCCTGAACGTCGAAACCTGTACACCAATGTACATGCATTCATCGTACATGGATTCAATGCTGTCACATAGAGTGTCGTTTCCACCGATGTAACACATATCATAGATGCAATCTTTGAAGAATCCATCTACGGTTTCGGAATCAAGTTCAGCAATACATTCAGCAAAGGGTCCCGTTGTATCCTTTATCAGACCACATTGGTCGCTCCCCGTGTAGAGGTTCTGAATGTCATTGTCACATTCCTGTTCTTCTTCATAAACATCCGGGCAACTGTAAAACAGTAAGTTGATAACGTCACGGTGAATAAATATCAAATTGACATGGATTGAAATACTATGAAACATTTTATTTCTTTACCTTTTATTGTATTCATTATTATGACACACCATGAATATAGCTTTGAAGAAATACGGCCAGTTCTATGGTTTTCTTGCTACCTTAAAAAAGCAGAGTACTACTTGGCAATGAGTACTACACCTCAGTGCCCCGGAGCAAAACACCATCATTTTGGAACGGATCTCTTATATCACAGTTTAATAAGTTTCCGCTATTCTAGTGCATTTACCTTATACTCGTTTTCCAACTGTTTCCATACTCTTTAGACGATTTGGCCAGACTTCCATCGGGACTGAAGTAGTCATTGTCGGGATTGCCATCACAATTGCCGCACATGCCTCCGATGTTATTCTCATACTCTGGTGGCGCCCTCATTTCAGTACGATGCCTGAAGTCCCAAGTAACCCAAAACCCGAATGATGTTTCAAGCAATATGTGTCTACCAAAATACGATATGATCAAACCTTCCTCGGGATTTGAAGGTGGGGTTACTGAAACTCCGTCAAGCTGTTAAAAACATACACGGCGATATGAAGTTAAGAAATTGTATGCTAGTCACGTGGTAGCCAAATGTTATATGTTTCGGTTCGTGAAATTGTTCTTTTTACGAAATATAATTTCATACACGCGTACATTCCGTAAAACTCTTCTATATATTAGCGGACTAGCGTGAGTTAACTTACATATATTGTGTGGTTTCTGAATAATACAACGCTATGGCTTGTTTTGAAGTCTGGGTGAAACAACTCCACCGTAATTGTTTTCTGGTAGGTCACCTTTCTGGAATTTTGGGGGTTGTGTTCATTCTTGGCCATCACTTTGAAGTACGGTTGATTGGAGTGCAATTGGTCAAGAAACGTTGTGTAAGTACAGTTTCCCTGAAAGTTATGTCGCTTTCCATCGCAGGTCATATAGTGGGGGTCACCACGTACCATACACATACAGCCTCCTGTTGAAACATACGGGATATTTGTGCGTGATGTATTTATACTATATTTTCCGCCAAATAGTCGGTGGTACATTTTGCATATGAGTAAACATTTTCTTTCATTCAATAATTCAAGATATAAAGCAGATAGTTCACAGCTACACCAATGTTTGGCCGTTTAGTCGTCTCGTGTATACAATACAACAAACATCTTGATCATTTCCGCTACAGCTGTGCCAGCACACAAGAGGGCGCTATGGATCTATATACAAAATAGTCATAACACAAAAACTGAACACTAAATAATATGTTGGACGTACCTTTTGGAATTTGGTCTCTACTTAGCGCGGAAAATTCTGTGGTAAAATTTAAATAAATTTAAATGAAAATAAAATAAAGTAAATTAAAGTGATTTTTGATTCACGGGCAAATTAACAGGCCAGTCATGACCGAGATGAGAGAGAAATGAAGTGTTCACCAATTGAATTGAAGTGATCCATTATTTAGTGAGCAAAGTGCGTCATTGCAAGCCCATAATTGCTGTGACTTGTCTGAAAGTTTATAAAAATCACATTCTGATTCGATTCTACTGGTAATACGGTTTTTGAAGTTTTCAAGTAGACTGGTGGAATCATTTCCATCGCATTTGTTACGACGACTCATGTGGATGGAGATTTTTGCATGACATATTATAAACATAAAAAATATTCTCGCATTGGTGAGAGTAAAACTTGCGGTAGTGATTAGGTGGTAACGCTACAAACCACCACGGTGGAGCTGACATATCTGGCTGCAGGAGCCCGGACGCTATACGTTTAATGAGACGACAGAGGGCGCCAATTGCCTGACACTTCAGAAAAAAACATGCGACAACGAGTCATAATCACCGCAAAGTGGACATCTATGCGAATCAGTGAAATTAGCACGCATAAAAAAAAACCGGTGGTAGCGTAACCACCATGTACAATACGCCATTGCAAGTCACCTTCAAACTTTGTAATTGGCAGGACATAGACTCCACAACCGGATGTAGTTTAAAATCTTACCCAGGACAAATATATACAAATTTAAATAAACGTAAACGTTGCCATTATCAGGTATACCTCACATATGAGGTTGAGTTGGTGCAAGGTTTTTATGACCGTATGCCCTTACTGACGTCAACCAAACTTATCATGTGGGAAGTTGGCACCCAAAGCTGACAGGTACTACACCTTCCCCAAGGGTGACCAGGAGGTAGTTGAGGAAAAAGGTAACCTCATTCTCCTATAAACTCCACAAGCGTATGTAAATTAAAGTAAAGTAATGTAACAGGGCAAATCAGAGAATCAGGAAAATAGAAACAAAACCATGTACGCACCTTTCTCACAAATGTATCTTTGTAATTGAGCGCACTTCAAATTAATCATATCATAGTTATGTGAGGGCGACATGCACGCACAGTTACGGTTTCTCCGAATTTCAGGTTTGCCCGGGGCCCAGCAACTCCCAATTTTACCACCTGATAACCATCTCCATTTTTTTCGTATTTTGCGGGCACCAGTCAAGTAATTCATCCCATTCAGTCGAGAGTCACCGGTAATTGTGTTCTTCAAAAATTCGAATTCTTCTTTGGACGATATCGTGACCAATGCAGAGCCGAGTCTTTCGCAAATTGTTGTTGCTCTTAACCCCGTTTCCTTGTCCGTGGAAAACATATAACAATGACCTTTGAAACTGACTTCGTTTTCGTCACAAGCTGGAAGATTAGTAAAATAAAATCTAAAACAAACACGTACCGTACCGTGCAATTTGTATAATGTAATATAACCAGTCACCAAGAAATTGTGTATGCAAATTATTTACTCGGTTCTGTTGGAGGAGCATTCAATTCATTTCATATATTAATATTTATTATAGAAAATAAAATTATTTCATACCAATGACGTCATGATTAGGTCTCTGGACACCTGCATATAAATATGATTATATTATTTTACATTAATCCATATATCACACAATCCATCACTGATCCGGTAACACGTGTTGAATACGTCACAGATAAACAGCTGCTCTGATGCCATGTATATTACATTGGATATTTAAAATAATGTTTCGTTTGAAAATTGCGTGTTTTTTATATGCATTGCCGCTTCTCGTTCTTTCGTTTGTTGATTCCATATCTAGTATGTGAGGCAGGATGAATAATAAAACACTGCTCCAAATGTATACGCACGTTCTATCTAGAATAACATATTTAAGTGCACGCGTGCGATTTGGATCTAAATTATAAGCAGTTGTGAAACGGGTGGAATAAATAAGTAGCTTGGAGTTGGTGTCATCTCTTCCTAACTACACGGTGTATTTATATGGTAGTTGTTGGAAGGATTCAGAGCTGGGTAGTACTAGTTAGAGGTCAATGATTAATTCTTTTTCATACGAATTATTAGTAATATCCCCAAAACACTGCAACCCTGAATAACTATTAACTATAATGTTATGATGTTCCCCTTATTTGAGCAGGACTATTTTCGTAGGGGAGAAACAAAGTTGTGTTCAAAACACTGATCACCAACCAACCAAGCAACCAAAGTATGGGTTGCGGGTGTATATTAATATCTGCACTACTTGATACCAGGAGATGCAACTGAGTATATTCGCTGCTTCTGGAACTAACTAGGAAAGTTTAAAATCGCTTGAGCACATTCGGCCTATTGGACGCTACCAACGTCATTATTACATCGTACGGCCATTGTATTTATTTTATACAAGAACGGATTAGGCGAAATACCCAAGCTTGTGATTGATTGGTAATGACACTTATTGTGTTGTTTCACGGGTTTCTGTTGATTACAGCCAATGCTGATAATAATTTGAAGGATGCCAGGTCACTGATGCAATGGTGAGGTTAACGGGGGATTTCTTGAGGTCTCTGTGATAGAGAGCTCGATTTTGTAGAGACCAATGATCCCACCCATCAGTGGTATTGCCACCATAGTAAAACCCAGAGAATGTAGACAAAATCTAGATACTTCATGATATTGAAAATTATACATGTTCGTCCCATGAACGGCGCTATTTGGTTTGTTGTTTCGCAAATTACGCAATACGGGGCAGTTCATTCATGGCGATAAAAAAGCATACAGAAATGTTCGTCAATGATTAGACAATCGTTTCTGACAACAACTTGACCTATCTCTCGTCATTTTGAAATGGTGCATAGCAATTGCGTTCAATTCCCGAGTGAACTAATAACCATCGACGTCTACACTTCAACTCACATAGGTATGTGCAGATTTAAATGTTCGTTCAACACGTTGTAACTTTTGGGATTGTGGATGTAATGACATGTTCTGTAAATTTTCGTAAGATATGCCTTATTTAATATAGCAAACACCGTCTGTGACAATTGCTAAGACAGTCACAGAAATATTGTAATAATTATCGAACTTATTAGCACTTATTATTAGTAAACAATTTCGTCGTGACTTTTTGCGATCTCCAAATATCTGAAATTAAAATCACAAAAGCGCAGTTGTTCGCCTCACGTCTCTATGAAACGCAAAACTGTTTCTTCAGAAACATATGCTAAACAAGTCGTGGTTTAAGTGTATCACAAATAACAGTATTGTATATTGTGATTTAACTTGTGGTATTACTCACCTCTGTTATACGGGTCTTCCTACAAGGAATCCAAAAAACCTTACATGAGCCAACAATGTTTATGATATATATAATCTCTGTTGTGATTATTTGCTTAGTTGTATAAACTCACATACACACCGCAAAAGTAGAAGTCGAAAAGTATTGAAAAAAAATAATAATATACATTTCTTGAAAGATATTTTACCTGGATAGACAGTTCACTCGCTGCCACTAAGGCCAGGGTAATGTACATCAACCTCAGCATCATCTAGTGAAATGACTACACGAATAAATATAATTAGAAGTGGCATTTGGAAACCCACTCCTTATTATTATGTTAATCCTGTTACCGTATTCGCAACTGTCATGTGTCAGTCATAATTCATTTATACTGAATTGTTTATTGTCGTTCTACAAACGTTGATTAACTCTGTTATGTCGACACACTGTTTATTTGCGTATGTTATGTTAGTCCCCCGTTCCGTTAAATATCATACTGTAGGGAAAAATCCCTCTAGGGGGACTGTGATTTAATCAGAGACAGTATCTATGATTTAACTGAAACAATCGGAGTAACCAAAATTAAGACCCATTTATCTCGAGATGATATCACTCAATCAAAGTATCGATCCGTGGTCGCGGTTTGGTCTTTGATCATTCGAGTAATGTTCAATCATTGAAATCATTTAATGTACAGTTATAAGAGTCTTATTTTAGAATCTAGATATGCCTAATATAACATATATCATAATATTAACTATATATAAAATTAACTAGGTGTTATTTTAATATGATAGAATGATCTGGTCTACTCACTTGACCCTTAAAAAATAATAAGCATTTAAGCGTATTACTGTTATAATAATGTTAATATGTCATATACTATAGCGTTTATTGTTGATTTTGACGTATAATACTCGACATTAACGTTAATGATAATAATATTGTACTTAGTAAAATTGCACATTTTATTTGTTGATTGTTATTTCCATCATATAGTGACTTTTACTTTCAATTATAATGTTATTGTGACGATATCGAATTGAAACTTGTACAAGCGTACAGCTCAGGAAATGATGTGTTCGTGCACTGCGCACTGCGTGCACTACTGTCCGGTAGGTTAAAGGCTATGCGCTGAGAGCAGTTATATAGTTTAATCTTCATTTTATATTGTGTCTTAAAAAATGCATACTAATAATAAATTTGGGAAATTGTTTACTATCAGTCTGAAGTAGATCAATATAGCAAAGGGTTGGTGGTATTTCACTGATGTAGGGGAATTCAGTACTTTAAGTGTCACAAGCCGCCGTATTGGTCCCACGCGACGTATCACACGCGTGTCATTGCACGGAATTCGAGTGCGCATAGCGGGACAACTGTTTTGATTTAATCTTCGTTATTCCGTCAGTGACTTGACACAATTCAATTGACTATTAGTACCAAATTTGTTTTTTTATTATTATTGGAAATATCACAAATTAACGATTCTTCACACTAGCAAGTCACAAGACAGATGTTTGTCAAATAAAACTTGCCGCGATCCGGTTCTTTGTCATGAATTTGTTTTTGCGTATCTGTA